CAGTTTGAAGTTGTTTTCAGATTCCTGTGAATTAAAATATTTAATCTCTCATAAACAAATACCATATATATATATATATATATATATATATATATATATATATTAAAGAAATTATCATAAATGAAAATAATCATTATGTTTTCTTCTAAGACTCATTTCTTTATCTGTTTTTTTTCTCCATATTTTGGCCATGTAACCTCAGACCTTTCTCAGGTGTCAATTGTGTTCTGAAATGACGTTAACTTTTATTCTAAATGAGCAGGTGCATCTCATCTATGTCATGTTCTCTATATTCTTGGGAGGACCCAACAAAAATAAAGAAATGTATCTGAAGAAAACGCTATACAATGATTAAAACATTTGTCTAATAAAATTCAAACAAGGACTAATTAAAATAATATTCATACAAAGAATGAAGCAATTTTGCAACACATTCTCACACTCCCTCACTTTTTGTCAAAAGGGGTTTTGGGGAGTAATTTTTTTATATCTTAATAAATTTAGTTACTAGGCAGTTCTTTCATTGTAATTATTTTTATTATAAATTTAAAATGTTGAAATGCAATTTATTGAATTTATTATGATTGTTTCCATTATTTGAGGTTAAAAATTGTAAATCATTTGAGTCATTAACTGTTTGCAAATAGTTGCATTAGAAATTATTTTTATTAGAAAATACAATTATTTTGAGTAGAATTAACATTTGAAAATAAGTCATGGTTATATATAAGAACATGGAGTGGTGCCTTATTTTAAATATTCACTGAATGACACAGGGAAATTTTTTAATGTTGTATCTCATTAAAAATAGAAATGGTTGTTCAGAAATTCATTAAAAGTCAATTTAATCATTGAATATCTTAGAAATAAATTTTAAGAACTGATATATTTTAAATTTATTTTTAGTGATTAAAGAAACAAAATGAAGTGCCTGTAAACTGTAATTCCTATTAGTTGAATAACAATTTTATGCAGCTGTTATCCATATTTTAATGTACCTGTATTAAGAAAAGTTTAAACTTCAGTGTGTATATATATATATATATATATATATATTGAAATAGTTAAATAGTTATGCTCAAATCATCTCCTTTAAAAATGATTGATAGAATTTTGTTTAGAATAAAAGAATATCTGTCATACTTTTTTATTTTGGTATTCTTATTTAAAAAAATTACTGTATATACCTAATGATTATTATTGATAAAACTTTGATTAATATGATATAAGGTTAAATTGTAGTGATGGATCTTCCATGTGAGAAAAGTTTGCCTGCCTTGAAAACCAGCATTTGTGATCCAGACTTTTACCTGAACTTGGATAATTATCATTGTTAAATATGCAACTATTAATCCCTCCAAGAAGACCATGATTATCATTATTAATTTTGTTCTTAGGCTTAATTATTGAAAAAAAAAATTACTGAACCGTTTTTGTTATTACAATACCAAATAGATAAGACTAATGATTCTCAAATTGGTGAATCATCTTGGCTGTATGTAGGTACCTCCAATAGGTTGTGTAAAAAACAGCATAGCATGATGAAAAAAGGCCCCAAAATCAATAAAAAATGTTTTGCCATCAAAATGTTTATGTTATTATTAAGAGGAAAGACCAAAGTATTTTTTTACATTATTTTTTGAAATTTTTTAATACTTTCTAGCATACTTGAAATTTTGGTTAAAAATCTTGTTTTTTTTTTGACAACGGTGAACTAGAGAAAAAAAGGTTAGTTTTTGTGCTTTTTCCAAGGAAAACACATTGATTTGGAAATTCTTTCAAAATTCAAATAATTATCAGATTTTAATGAAACTTTCAGGACAGATACAGAAATGAATGAAATTATTTTTGAAATTTTTTTTTTTTTTTTTTTTAGAAAATCTTTGTAAAAAATATTTTTTTTTACATATGTAACTACCCATGAAATTTCGAGAGATTAAATTTTTAAGGGGGGATTTTTTCATTAGTTAAAAACAGGACTCTTTGAAAAAAATAAATCATCCATTTTTTTTTTGTAAAACAGTTACCCATTTCATCAAAAATCTGCTTTGAATTGTAAAATAAAAAATGCAATAAAACTATGATATTATTTAATTAGAAAAGCTTTTAATTGCTTTTGTAAATAAGTTATATTAAGAACACTATTTTTTGAAAAAATAAACTTTTTTTCGATGAATAATAAATTTTTACAAGAATTTTTTCATTTTTTAAAAATTTTAATTATAATAATACAATAGTTCAAAAATGATTTCCTTGCTTTCAAGAATGCAATTTAGTGATATTGTTAAGTGAAAAGTAAATTTACGAATCAATCTGAAAAGCTCATAACAGCCGTTTGTACTCAAATATTTTTAAAATAGTTTAAAAAATAATTTTTAGTGTAAAAAAACATTCCAAATTTTTACCTATGGGAATCTATACATGACATAATCCTTAAAAAGGCCACATGATTTAAGTGTTGTCTACCACTGCAATTATTTCACTTTTAATTCAGTTCTGTTTCATCATTAATGCCTTTGTAAATTAACCTTTCAAATTATTAAAAAAAAGTTTTACTTTTCTTAATTGCTATTACACTAAATAATTTTATTTTATGTATTTGTTTTAGTTTGGGTCATACTTCAATTAATTAATTTTTTTGTTTAAGGTAGTAAACTTAAGAACCTAGAGATGAAATGCAAATTTTATAAAGCTTCTTAAAAACCTAACTAAAAGTCAATAAAACATTAAATAATTGCTGAAAATATGTTAAAGGTTCACTTAATTTTTATAAATGTGTCATTTCCGGTCATCCATAAGAGTTGTCATCACCTTAAGAGCTTCTGGATAAATCAATAAAGATCAAAGAAAGTGGAAGCCATCGTTAAGAAATACTTGTATATCGTTTTTTTTATGCTATAAGTAATATGATTTAACTTTAAATTTTCTAATTTTCCTCAAATAACGTGTCTCAAATCTATAATTTAATTTTGAAAGAATTTTAAACCCGATAAATTTGTTTGTTTACAAATTACTTAAAATTTAACAAAATGGCTGCTCTTAAGAAAATTTTTAAAAAATCAAGCAATTATTTGACATTCCAATCTATATAATTTCTATCTGAAATACACCAGAATGTCTTACTGGAAATAATACATTTAATCATTTAGCTTTCAATTAAAACTAGAATGAAATCTTCAAGAATGCTTTTTTATTTTTAAAATTTAATTTTAAAACTTAGGTATTGAAAATTCAGTGGAGGTGCCTACTCTTATGTTTATTATGAATGTTTTTCCTGTGCATCTATGAAATTATTTTAATGATTGTGAATTTGTAAATTGATATTCTATTCATGTCTCGAATTTTGGTTCATGTATTTAAAAGAGAATAAGTTTCAAAAGCCAAAGAATCACAAACTGCTTTCAACTGTGAAGACATATTGTATATAAACATGAAACTGATAAAGATAATTATCATAACAACAGCTTATGTGCAAATTATTTTTCATTGTTATTGGTATTAAAGTTATATGATGTAAACTATATAATAACTTGAACTACAAACAATTTTAAGACATTAAAAACACACAGATAATCAATATTGGCTCATGCATATCATCTCTGGTAAAACATAACAAAATGATGTGAATAAACACTGAAATATCTATGAAGTCAAGTGTATATTAATAATCTACAAATGTATATTTTCATCCTATATGAATGAGGTTTTAGAAAATAAACTACATGAAAATTAATATTCTAAAAAAAAAAAAAAAAAAAAAAAAAATGTAAAGAATGACAGGAAATTGAAATGTGAATAAAAACAGCCATTATTTTTTTACTTTTGCATAGTAATAGTCTCAAGGCCATTTTTAAAGCGCAGATAAATAAAGAAATACACTTTATAAAATAAATAGATAATGATGATGGAGATAATTTAAGAAATATTCAGTTTCTGTTTACTTATAAACTAATTGTACTTTTTAAGTATTCAAAAAGATAACTGATAATGTTTTTTGAAATATGACAAAGAGAACAGTTACACAAAGATAAACAAACAGATATAAGAAAAAGGGTAACATATTAAAAAATAGCTGACAGCCATATTTAAAAAATTTTTTTAATGACAAGGAAAAATTCTTACCTTACAGATTGTTATGATGTGTTCTCATGAAAACTACGTCTGATACTGCTGCTACTGTGTGCCAACAGGAAAAAGTCCAAGAATGTATAAGTGTGTGATTCTCAATGTGTATATTTTGTATGTGTAAATATGAAAGAAAAGCTAGCTGTCCTATCAACTATAATATGTGTGTAATGGCTGCTCCACTTGCTGATATACACAAACTTTACAAGATATTAATTAATAGTGACAGATGTAATTTTTATAAATATAATTTTCATAAATTATTCAATATAATCTACTATTTAGAGATAATAAAAACTAAAAATTAAAGTAAAAGATTTTACTCCCATAATGCATTTGTAAACAGTTTTATTCATCATTCACATGCTACTTTTTTCTCTCTATCCAATGGTGACTGCTATTTACATCATGAAAGAGTTCACTAAAAAATGATGGCATATTTACTAAGTTGATCAAAATTTACCTGTTAAATGTACATGTTTTATGATTAAAATTAACTCTAGTAATTAAAATAGAATTTTGTAAAAAAAATAAAAAAAAAATAAAAAAAAGATAAAAATATTTTTAGCTTTTTTTTTTTTTTTAATTAAAAATCATATTGGTAAATGTTAAAGAATATTGTTAGTGCAAATTTTTCCTTTTGTTTTTTTTTTTTACTTTAATGATTTTGAGTAAATAAATTTTTGAATTTGTTATGGAAATGTTTTTTTTTTTTAATTATTTTAATAATATTTAAATTTGTGTCATATAACTTAAGTTAATGAATATGCCTAAAAGCTCAAAATATTTATATAAAGAATAATAATTATAATACTTTGATTGTATGAATGAAAGTTAATACTATATTTTTGTTGTATAGCAAGAATATCAAGTTCCTAGTTTAAATGTGGCACTGGGGGTAGTGGTCTTGCATTTGGAGTTTGTTGATGGTTCATCTCTGGATGAGAAATGTTAGATTTGTTCAGTTGGCCAAAGGGAGATGAAAACTTGGAAGAAAGATCTGAAATGAAAAAAAATTAGAAGAGAAATTATAAACAGAATATATGAGTAAAAAAGTTCACTATTTGTGTACATATTAAACCACATGAATATCTAAGGTTTTACAAGTATAAGATTTTCTGCTTAAAGGAAACTTTGGAAATAAATGTTTTTACTGATTTTCCATTACTTAAAAATAATCAATAATATTATTCTGCTTGTTTGCATGTAAAAGCATTATGATTTTCAATCGAGGATCAGAGTGTAGTATCTGCCCATACTCCAAACTTGAATTAGTTAAGCTTTTAAATTGACAAAATTAAATAATAATATTAAGAAGGAAATATGAAAAGTGAAGGCGAGAGCAATAGGATATATATATATATATATATATATATATATATATATATATATATATAAATGAAGGGATGAAAAAGAGGAAGTTGAATATTAGAACACATTGAATAAAAGACAAGTTGGGCTGGAAAGGCATAACAATTTTGATATATTAAAATTCTTTATGGAAAAATAGATCAAAAGGATGTAGGAAATATTTATGCATTTTTTTTTGCATATTATATTAATTCATGTTTGTATAACATTTAGATAAGAAAATGGATAGGTACTGAAGATTAGAATGGATAAGGCAAAAATGAGAAGATACAGGCAAAAAGTGAGAGAAGGGCAGAAGTATGATAATCTTAATTGTCAACATCCATGAAATTTCCATGGATCTGGCTAGTGGCTCTAATCAATCTTGTCCTTGGTGTTTTACTCTTCTGTCCTGTTATCTATCACAAATCCAAAGACATATATCTTCTAATCATCTACAAAAGTTTAAGAAAACATAGACTGATGAAAAATAAAATTGCAAAACGTTGAAAGAAGATGGTGCTTTTGACCTGGGTACAGTATGCACATGCTAGTGGATAGTAGTTATTCTGATAAAATTTTAAATGTCTTTGGCTATCTTGTGACATAGAGTGCACTAGTATGAGTGTTACTATGTATCCGAGCTTTAAAAAGTGATATATGCTGTGATAAGGCCCGGTCTGGTGAGGGGTTCTAGTGCAAGCAGTTGTCATGCCATGAAGACACTCTTTTTTTTGTTTGATTAAAACCATTTATAAAGGATGTAATTGTGAACCTTCAAGAAACCAGATGGTCATTTCAGAAAATTGTATTGTATGTTGGATGTGTTTTGATATTGCCAACTTGCAAATTCTGCTTTCTTGCAAATAACGGTCATTTGCATATCTAAGGAACAACAACTCCAGAGTGTATTCATTCACAATGCACAGGCCAAACCTCTTGTAACACAGTACCATCCTACAAATTTTGATTGCTTGTGGAGGCAACACTGAACAGCAACATGTGCATCCAAAACATTGTTCTGCTGCCATTCCTACAGCAGGAAGGTGATGTCTTGTTTCAGCAGCATAATTCCTGCACACATGAGGCCTTTATTACTCAACATGATTTTCAAGATGTTCAACAATTTTCCTGTTTGGCATGTCTAAGCCTCCCTCCCCATTAAGCATATATGGGATGACTCCTCTGGCTTATTCAATTAGCCATCTGGAACTATTGGCGTATTACATAAACTGGTATAAGAGGCATGGAATTATCCATATGTATGATCACATGCATCTGAAAGTCCTGTATTAACACTTAATACATTATATCAATATAGGGTCTGCTGATTATTTTGGAACTTGTGCATGTAATGGTCTGCATAAGTGATAATATATATAATATAATCCAGCTATATATCTGTACTAGCCTACAAGCCACCCTTTGGGCGGACTTTAGGCTAGCTTCTGTGGAGGGCTTTTGCCTTCAGCATCCTATATATGTAAAAGTTATAAGAATTTAAAAATAATAAAATTATTTTATCTTTATTCAACACCTTAATTCGGCATAACCTTTCTTTGTATACAGAACCGAGCGCCATATTTTGTTTACATTTATTTTGTGCACAATTTTTATTTTCTTTTAAAGTCCCCATTCTTTATGAGCCCTTCAAATATAGTCAGTCTAAAAAGACATTAGGGAATCCAAACTTTGTAATATTTTGAATACATCACAGTACATGAAATTAGAAAAATATAAGCAACGTACTGTACTCCACTTAAGTTTTAATTATGGTTTAATTAGACGATATCAATTGCAATTGTAACAAAAAGCGAAATTAAAGTTAAATCTCTAATAAAGAGTTGTTTTTAAACCTTTCACTCTGTTTGATATTTAAATTTAACATTAAATGAGTTATTTATTTAATCTTTAATCATGTGCAACTACAGTATTTACTACCTGTTACTTTAGGTTGTTTATGATTTACCAATGAACTGTGCTTTATTATCATAGATGTTAAATCTTGGCTAAATTGAAGCAAATACTCAGTATTGCAATTTTATTTTCCATCTGTGTATTTACTCGGTAGATTCTACATAAAAAGGAGCAATTATGGTGAACTTTTATTTATTTACCATTCATTAACTTGTAACTGATTAAAAACAGAAAACATGTTGTGACCAACATTATTTGTTCTTTTTATTATTAACAAAAAGAGTACAAAAGGGATGTTTTACAAGTAAAATATTTAAAACAATATTTCCTATTTAATGTATGTTAAATAATATCCATGAGTTGGCTTACCTGTTTTCTCTTGACCATGAAATTTGTCAGCTTCTGTCCAGTCACGTTCAGCTTCATTTTGAGATGATATAGCTGACCTCCAAGTAAAATAATCAGGAGGAATTGATATATTCTGGGTGTACATCTGTTCATAAATAGAAAATCCAAACAACAACGTAAGGCTTTTTATTTAACATTGGGAGTGGAGAAATTATATTGGTTCAAACCACATGAGAAATATCTTTATAAAAAAGTTGAGAAAATTCTAGTTTAGATTAGATTTAAAATACAATATCTTACTTACATTATCAATGAAGAATTTACAGATCTTTTTAATAATTATGATTACATTTTTTTAAAATTATGTCACAATTCTTCAGAAAATGAAGCTAGAGAAAACATTTTTATAATACAGAATGTCATGATAGGCAGAAAACTTTTGAAAGATATTTGTCTTTATAATCATGAAATAAAATAAATACCTGGGATGTAATGTCTGAAGATCCTTGTGATTTAGACTCAGAAGTTAGTTGCTGCCTTGACCCTGACAATAGAGTATCAGTGACTTTATCATTTGTCGGCATATGTGGAACAGGGTGAGGCCAAGAATTTACCTGGTAAGAAGGAGCAATTAGTTGTCTCTGTTCACTGATATATTTGCTGGAAAGATCAAGTGGTTGTGCATAGGCCACATTTGACTGACCATTACATCGAATGATGCATATTGATAATGAAGCTGTTATGAACACAGCTATTGTCACTGCTATCACTGTAATAATAATGACCAGATTAAGATGCACCTTCTCTTCACTTTCTAGCTCAACAACATTTAACATTTGGGATGTCTTGTTGCTGATAGTCAATGTTAAAAACAGAGTAGTTGTTGCTGATAGAACTGGACTACCACTATCCTTGACCACAATGTCCAGCTGATAGGAACCAGCATTTTCTGGACTCAGTTGGCGATTGAAAGCTAACAAACCAGTGTACTGGTTCATGCTGAATATCTGTTTATCATTGCCTCTGATTATTTCATATTTTAGAAATGCATTCTCTTGACTATCAATATCTGATGCCTTGATTTGGCTGATGTTCTTGCTATGATGTGGGTAATATGTCACATCTAGATTGTAAGGTTTAATACTGGGAAATGTAAAATATGGAGCATTATCATTTTTATCAGTTACCTCAACAATCACATTGACTGTATTATTCAGAGATGGTGTTCCATTATCTTTGACAAATACCTGGAACTCATAAGTAACTTGAAATTCATGATCAAGGGACATGATTGCTGATAATAATCCATTTGGGCTTATTTTGAAAGGTAAGAAGAAGTGTTTATTATTGGTGATCAGAGAATATGTAAGTTTTCCTCCAGCTCCCAAGTCTGGGTCAGTGGCATTGATGTAGCCAACAGTAATTCTTGAATTTTCATTTTCATCAATCAAGAATTTAAATGTGTCTTTTGCAAATTGTGGCTTAACATCATTGATATCCATTACTTTTAAAGTGAATTTGCTGTTACTATGAAGAGGAGGAGATCCTTTATCTTGACAACTGATCACAACATCATGATGATCTTTTGTTTCTCGATCTAATAAGTTCTTCGATGTTACTTCATATTTTTTTGTGCCCATGCTTTCTATTTGAAATTTATCATGGTGAAGGTTACATTTGACTTCACCATTTGGCCCATCATCATGGTCAATTATTTTAACATAAGCAATAAAACTTCCAACTTTAATGTCTTCAAAAATATTAACAGTGTTTTCTTTTGATGCTGAAGCAAAATTCACTTTTATCAAGGGTGGATTATTTTGTTGGTCAATTACTTTAACAAGAACCATTGCAACAGAACTTAATGGAGGATTACCTCCATCTGTGGCTTCTACATAAAGTTTATGCATCAGGCTTTGTCCACTTTTTAGATAATTTTGTAAAAATATTTCTCCTGTCTTTTTATCTAACCTGAACATCTTTGAACTTTCTGAACTTTTAGACCCAACACTATAAGAGATTTTTCCATTGTGACCAGAGTCTAAATCTGTAGCTGTCATTACAATAATGGGTACCGTTTCACTTGGTTCATTCTTAATGGATACATTGAATAACTTTTGCGAAAATATAGGTGCATTATCATTGATATCAATCACTGAGATATGAACATTTAAAACATTTTGCTTCATTGGAGATCCCCCATCTTTAGCAACTATTTTGATCAAATAAGATGATTTCATTTCTCTGTCAAGTCTTCCTTCTAAACTTATTTCAAGCTTTGCTGTCTCATCCACTTTTTGGGATACAATCAATTTAAATGGTTCATCTTTATACTCTTTCAGTTCATAAGTAATATGAGAATTAACAAGTCCAACATCTTTGTCTATGGCATTTGGAATGGATTTTCTCATTCCAGCTGCATCACCTTCACCAAAGTTTATATTAACTTCTTTAAATGGAAATTCAGGTTGATGATCATTAACATCTTGGATTATAATTTTCACTTCTAATATTTTAATGGTTGCAGTTCCTTTTTGGATAACAACATCCAACATTTGAAAACATTCTTCATTACTTTTACAAATGACTTCAGCATCCAGTGTTTCCATTGTATATAATTTTCCAGTCTTTTTAGAAACCCGGAATAATTGAGAATTTCCAGTCAATTGTTGTAATTGATTGAATGTAATCTTACTAAGATCTTCATAATCTTTTGCTATTTGTGAATCTGCAGCAATGTCTCCAATGTAAGTGCCAGGGCTCTTCTCTTCTTCCACAGTATAAGTGACGTCTATACATAGACAATTTGGAAGGACAGATATCAAAACACATATCTTCCAATAAAAAATTGGTGATTGATGAAATAAGAAATCCATTTTTTGCTTTAAGGAAGTCACCTATATTCCTGAAATTTGAGCAAAAATAAAAAAAGCCAAAATTAGAAATGATATTGCAATACAAAAATAACAGTTACAATTCTTTTAACTAGATGTTAAACAGAAGCAAACAAAAACAGTTAACGAATTAAAATGAATGATTTGAAATGCATTAATAAAAGCTAATGTTATTTCATCTTGACACAAAAGGAAAATTATAATAGAAAGTTGTCATAAAATAATTTAAGAAATGTTAAAATATTTAAAGCTAAATAAATCTATATACTTTTAGAAATGTGTTATAATTTTTTTGTTTCAAATTTAAAATATTAAATGAAGACCATTTCATACCATCCTGCTTTTTATTTCAGGGTCAATGCCACTATCTATATTGAGTTGATAGACATAGTGTCCAAGCCTTGAATGAAAGAACAGCTGTATATGTTCCAGCAGGTTATTCCTCCTACCTGACCCAAGAGTGACTGGCTGAGATTTTTTATAATTCAACAAATTTTCACAAGTCCAAAATGTTGTCTCTCAGCTCAACTGATTTGAATCCACTAGATTACTACAGGGTGGGGCAGAGCAACTTGCTTATTTAAATTTGGCACCCTAAAGCGATGGTTGCTCCAAGGATGGCAGGGATGGACTTATTTGAGAGGGTGGGGCTTAAAGTTTGGTTTTTAACGTGCGTTATTTATTTTTTGTTTATTTTTCAGGAACCCCAGTGAGCATCATGGAGTAGACGAAGTTGGAACGCGCTTTCGCTGTTGAGGCATTTTTTTCAAGCGGTCGCTCAATCATTGCCCCCCGTGGTCGTGTTACTGGCCGGCAGTCGATTGTTTCATGGGTAAACAACTTCAGGGAAACGGGTGATGTAAAGAAAAAGAAACCTGGCCTCCCACAAACAGCAAGTTCACCCCAAAACATTGACTCAGTGTATAGAGAAGAATGGAAGCCATCTTACTGATATCTTTAAAACTGGTAAAAAATAAAATTTAAATGTTGAACTAGTTGCAGTTTAAAGAATTACATGTATATCTGCATTACTTGTGTTTTAATTGATATTCCAAATAAGCAAGTTGCTCTGCCCCACCCTGTATAATTTGAAGACCATCAAGAAGGAGATCAACCAGGGGTTTCTACAATACAAAGACCATAATCATGGACATGGTAGTCAACATTAATGAGAACCATTTGATTTAGGTATAAAAGGCCACACTGAGGTTGACGGTGGTTTTATTAAATAACTGTTTTTCTAAGTTGAATATGTCAAAATCTTTTTTTTAAATAAAGTAATATTTTTCTAATGAATATCTTTGTTTTTTTTTTTTTTTGTTTTTTTTACATTATAATTTTTTTCAATTAACTGACACATCTTATCTATCTAATATATTCTAAAATGCAAGTATTTATGAAGACAAATATCAATTGACAAAATCTAAAGAAAGATCTGTAATGTAATCGATCCTGACTTGGTATCTCAACTTCAGTCACATTCTCACTGACGTGATGTGGCTTCCCTCTGTCTTTTCTATAAATATTTTCATGGCAACTGCTCTGATGGGCATTTTTTCCTGGTGCCCTGAATGTATTAATTTAAGTGTGCCACTAGATTGGCATCTGATAATCAAAATATAAACACCATTAAAGGCTGAAAATACATAGATTCCTTTTATTTTCAAGAAAACTCCTTGATAAAAATAACAGACTTTTAATTTTGAAACTAGATTTCTTGAATAACAAATTATAATATTAAAAATATAAACATACTGAAACTATAAATCCATCAGTTACATTTATCGAAATATAAAATATTATTGAGATTTATTTATTTTGGTTTTATCATATAAAACACAAATCTTAATATAGAGGGAAAATTAAAGTTGTATACAAAAAGGTGATAAAATTGTAAAATATAAAAAGATATGCTTTTGTTATTGACTTCATAAAAATAAACATTTCAGAAAATGTACTCTGAATAGTGATTTAACTCCTCTTGAAGTACAGATGATGAAAATGTTATAAAAATTGAAATGTCCAATAAAGTAAAATTTTTATATAGAAAAAAAAGGAAAAAAAAAAAAAAAATAGAAAAAAAAAGTAAAATTAAACAGTTCCTTAAAAATACTAAGCAGATTGAAAATTGAAAAAGCTGCTGATCAGTCATCATCATAGTTTTCTTTATATTATTGTAAAAGTATTATTGTAATCTGTACTTAATTGCATTGCCACAAAAGGCTAAAAATGAACACCTAAATAAGCACAAGAAACTCCACTTTTACAGTCAGTCTATTGAGATGAAGAACTTTAAGTGCAGGATAAAAATTAGAAAATAAAAAATGTCATAAAAAGATTATTATAACAATATTATTATGAAATTAAAACTTCAACCACTAGAAAGATAGTAGTTTGTGCAATGCAGGAACATAACTACAAAGAATAGTTGTTTATTCTGATATACCTAATTAGGTAGTAAAATAAGAAAGACAGAAATTTTTTTTTTAAATTATTTCAAATGCATAGAAAGAGAATAGTGTACATTTTCATACCTTTATATTTAAAACTCCTTGAAAGGTTGTGATATCTTCATCCAAAGTGGTCTTGAACTGTAGCCGTTGAGTATTTTCAGAATTAAGTGTATGTATGTGTATGATATATAATGTATGTATGTGTTACTAAAAGGGAAAACCAGCAGTCCTATTAACACTAATGTGTGTGTAATGGCTGCCCCACTTAATAATAGATGTGTATACTAATGTAATTTTTAATTAAAAATATATATTTGAAACTTATATATAAATAATGACTTATATAATTAAAATGATATTTTATATGAAGTTTTTTTTTTAAAAAAAAAAGCTGTCCAACTTTTTCCCAGAATGCACTAGCATAGCATATATTTTTCCCTTCATAGGCTATTTTCTTCTCTCAATCCATTCTGATGAAACAAATACTTCTAAAAATAGTGATTATGAAATTTAGGCATCATTCAAGCTCTTCTAAAAATAGTAATTATGAAATTCAGAATGCATTGAAAATTGCAAGTAAAAAAATTATTTTAATTAAAATGAATATTTTTTTAAAGCCAAAATAGAGAAAAATTTTAAAGAGGAAATTTTTACAGTGCATTTGATTAGTTTTAGGTTTTATGCTAAAATGTTCAGAAATTGTTTTGGTTCTAACTTAAATTTTAAGTAAATATTTTCTTTTTTTTATCAAATGTACTTTAATCTTTCTCATTAGTTTTAATTATCAGTTTATAAATACTTAATCGTTGTATATTGAATATTCACCAAGAAATGAATATTTTATTGAAAATCTTTCGTTGTGACCATGAATTATATTCTTTAACTTAAATAAGGAACCGGGGGCAATGGTCTTGTGTTAGAATTCTGTTGATTGTTCATTTCAAGATTTCTGGATTGTTGATATGGATAAGAAATATCACTTTTTCTCAGTTGGTCAGCCTGGGAGGTTTTAGGAGAGAACAAATCTGATAAATAAAGAAAATGATAGTAAATAAATCATTGTAACTTAATCAAAATAATTATTATACTTTCAACAAATTAATCAACTGAGGTATTTTTATGGCACATTGATTCCTCTATAATGGTCATATTGTACCAGGCAAGTTTTTAGATTAATTTCTTAAACTGTAATCATATACAAAATTTTTCAAATATTGTCTGGCAGGGGGTGGGGAGTAGTAGGGGGGCAAAATGATGTACAGATAGACATAGACTGACTGTAATTAAAACATCATGAAAGGTGTAAATAGAAAGTAACATTGGGTATGCAATACTTGTAACAACCAGAACAGCCATAATATTGAGTGCATGTGTATATGACATCACAACATAGATGACTACTGCTATAAAAGTGGACAAAGAGGTGCAAGCTAAAAACCCAGCTGCTAACTGTTGTGGTAGGATCCACCTAATTTGCATAGTGGAGTACCGACCATATAAATATGGTTGGTACCGGGAAGAGAGGGGAGGAATCAAGAGATTCAATCCAGAGACTCTGCCCAACTGCGACTAAGTCAACACATTCTCCAGGAACGGTCTTCCCAGGATTATACAAAAGACTATATGTAAATATTGTGTAAACTTTCTTGTTTCAATACATTTTGTTCTAAGTACATTTTGTGTTGCATTATTATTCCATGCATTAGTCAAGTTTCAACACTAACCATGAAGTTGTTTTTGTATATGGCAAACATACAATAGGAATATCAGCCTCTGGTATAGTGCAGAGGAGCATAAGAAATTTAAGACCAAGTCTAGTCTAGGGTAGAATATCCACTTTCATCAACAACAGAAGATGGCATTGATTAAAAACAATAGCACAAATTTTGTGATATGGCTATCAAAAGTGCCTGAGAAACCACACTATGGGTTGACCCAAGCCATGTGATTGAAATTGGGTAGATGGAACTATTTGGGAGCCATTGATGGTTGAGCTAGCACAAAGTCGCAAGTCATCGTGACCGAGGGTTTGAGTGCACTGGCTGCGTTCAGACTGTTAAACACACCAGTTAATGCACTCTCTCTCAGAAATTGTAATTAAGGCCTACTCAGCATAGTTGCAATATAAACCACAGATGGGCTCTGTGGGTGTTGAACAGACACAAACGTGCCTGAGCAATAGGGACTAGCTAGCCACATTAGCAGGCAGTTATACTCAGCTAAGAGTGACCAACCATTACTTACCAATGAGACACATGTATCAGTATTAATAACTATGTGGAAAAGTAGAAATATTTACTGGTAAATTTCACAATGTTTTATTTATACAGTAATGAACATGTTGAATTAGTAAATGCTTGAACCTTACTTTTTGAACATCCCTTGTACCTAAATAGCATATATGCAAACTTACTGAAGGCAGCATATCTTCATTCAAACATGTTTCATTGAATTATATAGACATTTTTTTTTTTTTTTTAAGCAATTCACCCCAAGCAAGGCGGGAGTGCCATTAGCATGCAAGGGGTTATAGAGGTTAGAGAACAAGAGTAAAGAGCAATATATCAGGAAAAGATACAGAGGAGAACTGGGAACAAGATCAAGGTATCAGACAATGTCAATTGACATTACACTTGAATATTTGAAGATTATACTTATCAGGGAAGCATGCAAGAAGGGAGTTCCACAGACGGGATGTACGAGAGAAGAAGCTGTTTGAGTAGAAGAGACAGTTACATTTAACCATTTTGACAGTGAAAGGGTGGGACTGAGATGTAAGCCTAGTAGCTCACTTATGGGAACCGGTGAAAGTAGCCTGTTGAAACAGTTGCCATGAAAATACTTGTAGAAGAGACAGAAGGAGGCTACTGCATGTCTGTGAGAAAGCAACTGTAGACAAAATGCCAGGTCAGGAACTACTGCATTACATATTTGTCTCTGGATTTTGCCGAAGAGCTCTATTTATTTTTATACTGATGCTCCTTTCCAGTTCTCTAATCAGTTTCTTGATGTTAAGATGAAATTCATCAAGGAAGGCACCATAGTTTTTACTAACCTGAGTACTTTCAATCATTTTCAAATTCATCTTCAGGGATAAATTACAAAGACAAACTTATTGTAAGTGTGATAAAATCTGCATTCTGTTGTGATGGTTATTTCTAAAAACACACACAAACATGCAATATATATATATATATAGTCTTAAGGTGTGCTATATTTATGGAATAAAGTGCTCAATATCAGAGATAGAGCGTGTGTAAATATAAAAGTGAACATAGAAGTCAACACTTAGAGGCGACAGTCTGTTTCATGCTATATATATATATATATATATATATATAAAAAGAAAGAACAGTAAGATATAAAATCCGTGAAAAATTAAACTTGAAGATGAAATGGAACTAATGCTTTTAATTTAATTGCAAAAATAAAATTAGGGTTTTTAGCTTCTATTTTTTGAAACATGGTTGGAACTGTGTAGCGAAAATAACCATATTTTAAATCAATTAATTTATAATATATATATATATATATATATAATGTAAACAGAACATGACTACTTTGAAAGTGTTCAGTTAGTTTTGAAAAAATTAAAATTATACATATGTCACAAAAGTTAATGACAGTTTTTAGTGTTAACCATTAATTAATGAAATTAGTAAAAAGGTGATTTTTGGATTTTTATACTTACTGGATACTAATTATAAAACTATTTTGACCATAATTTACCATCATAGACAAATGTGATGCCTGATATTTGTAAAAATTTTTTTTTTTCATATTTACAATGCAGGGTTGATTAATCTACTTCAAAGCATATTTACATAAGGCTTAATACCAATGTGCTCAAGAGAAATATAAAAAGAACAAATCCTATATTACAATATTTTACAAGGAAATTGTAATATCAATTGATAAGATTTAATTAATGCCCAACAAACCAATTTACTTTGAACATACCTGTCTTCTCTTGAACATGAACTGCATCTCTTTCAAGCCACTTGTGTTTACTGTCAGTCTGAGAGGGTACAGCTGATCTCCAGGTAAAATAATCCAGTGGAATTGATACATTATGTGAATGCACCTGTTTAGAAAATAAACTACATTGTTTATAATTACAAAAGATAGAAGTAAAATGAAAATTATTAACTCATTAATAGCAGCAGAATTTTCCATTACTTGTACTTGAGACATGAAATTGCATTGACAGAAATTCCTATCATCTGCAGTTAATGGATTAAAAAAGAAAATATATCCAGTACTGATTAAGATTGTATAAGATTTATAACATACAATTATAGCAAATCTAACCTCAAATTATGAGTAAAAAAAAAAAAAAAAAAAAAAAATGAAGAAAGAATAAATAGGATCCTCTGAGAAATTTTAAAAGTTTTAAAAACCAAAATGTTTATAAAAAATAAAGAAATGCAATATTATCTGATAAAGGAAGATATCAGCTTGAGAAAATTGAAAAAATATCAAAATGTATTTTCAACATTTTTAAATTCAAAATTTATGGTTCATATACTAAATTTAGAAGTTTACAATTTTCTAGGTTTATAAGGTGAATAAATCTATTGAAGGTAAATGAAATATGATACAACTGATTTGAAAATAAGTTTTGACTTTGACATATTGACCTATAAAATCACAAGGCAAAAGTTTTTACCAAAAAAAAAAAAAAAATAAAAAAATCAGCAAATAAAAATTACTGATGTAAATAAAAAGAAAATTACTTGTTACCTGTGCAGAAGATTCTGGTAAGGTTTGCGATGTTTGCTGTTTCCATGATCTTGTCAGTGTTGTATCAGAAGATTGGGTTTGGTCTTCTAACATCGTCTGTGCAAGCTGAGGCCATGAGTTTCCTGGGTAAGATGGAGCAATCAAGTGTCTCTGCTCACCAACGTATCTGTTAGAAGGGTCAAGTGGTTGTGCATAGGCCACATTTGACTGACCATTACATCGAATGATGCAAATTGATAATGAAGCTGTTATGAACACAGCTATTGTTACTGCTATCACTGTAATAATAATGACCAGATTAAGATGCACCTTCTCTTCACTTTCTAGCTCAACAACATTTAACATTTGGGATGTCTTGTTACTGATAGTCAATATTAAAAACAGAGTAGTTGTTGCTGATAGAACTGGACTACCACTATCCTTGACCATAATGTCCAGCTGATAGGAACCAGCATTTTCTGGACTCAGTTGTCGATTGAAAGCTAACAAACCAGTGTACTGGTTCATGCTGAATATCTGTTTATCATTGCCTCTGATTATTTCATATTTTAGAAATGCATTCTCTTGACTATCACTATCTGATGCCTTGATTTGGCTGATGTTCTTGCTATGATGTGGGTAATATGTCACATCCAGATTGTAAGGTTTAATACTGGGAAATGTAAAATATGGAGCATTATCATTTTTATCAGTTACCTCAACAATCACATTGACTGTATTATTCAGAGATGGTGTTCCATTATCTTTGACAAATACCGAAACTCATAAGTATCTTGAAACTCATGATCAAGGGACATAATTGCTGATAATAATCCATTTGGACTTATTTTGAAAGGTAAGAAGTGTTTATTATTGGTGATCAGAGAATATGTAAGTTTTCCTCCAGCTCCCAAGTCTGGGTCAGTGGCATTGATGTAACCAACAGTAATTCTTGAGTTTTCATTTTCATCAATCAAGAATTTAAATGTGTCTTTTGTAAATTGTGGCTTAACATCATTGATATCCATCACTTGAATGGAGAATTTGCTGTTACTATGAAGAGGAGGAGATCCTTTATCTTGGCAACTGATCACAACATCATGGTGCTCTTCTTTCTCTCTATCCAGAGGATTTTTCAGTGTCACTTCATATTTCTTTGTACCTAAATTCTGAAGCTGGAATTTATCATGATGAAGATGACATTTGACTTCTCCATTTTGTCCTTTGTCATTGTCAGCAACTTTGACATAAGCAATGAATCTGCCAATTTTAACATTCTCAAGAATTGTAACTGAATTTTTTTGTGATGTTGAAGCAAAATTTACTTTTATAATAGGAGGATTATTTTGTTGGTTGATCACATTCACAAAAATCTTTGCAATTGAACTTAATGGAGGATTGCCATTATCCATTGCTTCAACATATAAACTATGTATTGTATCCTGCCCAAGCATAAACTCATGAAATAAAAAAATTTCTCCTGTTTTCTTATTCAACTTAAAATGCCTTTTTGTGTTTTCAGATGTTTGTAATCCAAAATAATATGTTATTTGACCATTTTTTCCTGAGTCTTTGTCAATAGCTTCCATTGCAATAATAGGTAAAGACTCACTTTGTTCATTTTTGACAGAAACATTATAAACTTTCTGTGTGAAGATTGGAACGTTATCATTAACATCTGTGACTGTTATATGAATGTCTAAAGTATTTTGCTTGTTCGGTGAACCTCCGTCTTTAGCAAGTATTTGAATTATATAAGAGTCTGTTACTTCTCTATCAAGAGGCTCATCCAAATTGATACTCAGTTTTGATGTTCCATCAACACTTTTTGAAACAAACAAGGAAAAAGGCTCATTTCTATGTTTTTTTAAATCATAGGTAATTTGGGAATTAACAATTCCAACATCTTTGTCAATAGCATTTGGAATTGATATTTTGGTTCCTTTTCCATCTCTTTCAGAAAATGCAATGTTGGCTTGTTTTTCAGGAAATTCTGGTTGATGATCATTAATGTCTTGTATTATTACTTTGACTTCTAATATCTTAATTGTTGAAGTTTCTGTTTGGACAGCAATATCTAGTATTTGAAAACAGTCTTTATTACGTTTGCACATAATCTCAGCATCTAATGTTTCCATTGTATATAACTTTCCAGTCTTTTGAGAAACCTGGAATAACTGAGAATTTCTATTTAACTGTTGTAATTGGCTGAATGTAATTTTACTAAGATCTTCATAATCTGTTGCTATTTGTGAATCAGCAGCAATGTCTCCGATGTAGGTACCAGGAATCTTTCCTTCTTCCACGGTGTAAGTGAGGTCAACACACAAACATTTTGGAAAGACAGATATTAAAATGCTCACATATAGCAAAATTTTCCAGGAAAATATTTTTTGCTGAATGCTTAAAAAATCCATTGTTTTAAATGAAATCATTTTCATATCTGAAAATTTGAAGAAAATATTAAAAACGTTTTAAAAATATTTAAAAAATTAAAATTTATATCAACAAAATTAAGCATTGGAATATATTTTGTTGAAAGAGTTGCTATTATTATTATTATTATTACATTTGTATTGTCACTATAGATTAAAAAAGATTACAGAGAGTGAAGATAAAAATGACAAACTCAAAAATATGTGACAGAGTAAACCTTGTTTTATATATACTTCTATCAAGCTGAGATTATATTGTTTTATTTAATGGTGCATTAGTTAAAAATGAAATAAGAAGATTAAATTAAGACTAATATATTTTGATAAAGCAAAGGATTTGAATTAAATTTAATTTGAACATATTTCATAGTGCTATCTAAAAGTTCAGGTGTTTCAACTTTTGTTATAGTTTATGAACAGTACTCAGTAGTATTCAAACAGCAAGCAAAGGGAATTTTTTGAGGAAAATAATATAAAATAGGTGATTTTTTAAAAAATTTTCTTCATTGTCATTCACTGAAATTTGGGGTAGCATCTCATATATAATAAAAAGATATAGACATCCTTGGTTCTAAGTTACATTTTTAGAAGATACTTGGCTTTGTATATAAAAATATGTAGGAAGGTTATATAATTTTAGTCATTGAAATGTAAGAAAAGAAAAAGAAAGAACACAATATTTATTTTTAATATCTGAAAGAGTGAAACAAGTTCACTTCATCTTTCACATTACAAAATGTCAGTTGTATTATTAAAGTAATATAGTTTAACAAAGTTAATAACTTCTTTTCAACATTGCTTTCTCAATTAAAATCTCAATAAAAAATTGAATACTTTTGATATACTCCATTATGTCATTTCTTGTATCATTTTCATCTACACCTGTAAATGTTTAAAAGTTTTAAAAATAGATAAATTGTGCATAACTTTGTTTGAGGGAAATTCTATTATACTGACAAAATCCACTTACATATGATTCCTCTATGTGGCAAAAACTATAGTATCATGAACTAAAAAATGATTTCAATTGGATTGTAAATATTCTCTGAATATTTAAGAATAACTGCAAATGATCTTCATGTTTAATAGATTAGTTAAATACTATATTATGGGCACGTGGTCGAGTGGTTAGAAAGTTTGTATTCTGACCATGAGACCCGGGTTAGAATTTCACCATGGTCAATTTGTCAAGACGACTTCTTGATGTTATTGGACTGGATTCTATCCTATCGTACAGTCGTGGGTCGATCCTAGCATGCGGCACCTTTGGAAAGTGCCTGAAAATGATACCACAAGTTGATCCAAGCCCTGTAAGTGAAATTGGGTAGACAGAAACCTTGGTGGTCGTCGATAGCTGTGTTAACACAAAGTCACAAGTCATCATAGCCAAGGGCTTGAGTGTGATGACCTTGTTCAAATTGTTGATCATGCTAGATAACATACTTTTTCCCAGAAACTGTAACTAAGGTCTGCTCAGCATAGTTGCAGTATAAACCACAGGTGAGCTCTGTGGGTGTTGAATAAATACAAATGTGCCTGAGCAAGCGTCTGCAATAGGGATTGGCTAGCCACCCTAGTAGATGGGTATCCTCAAACACGAGTGGCCAGTTATACATATCAAATGTGAATAAAACAAATATGAAGTGGAGCAATAAGTGTATAGTAGTTATAAGCTGAATTTTGATCTGAAATTTTCACTCTATAATGTTCAGTCTACATGGATAATATTCCCCACTGGATTAAGAATATTGACAAGGAAGGAGATCATATTGAAAAATAAATATTGTAGTATAAATTAAGTGCTTCTTTTCAGCAATTGTCTAGGCTTATTGATCTACTTATGTTAGCAAATATTGATAATTTTTTAAGCTAATTTAACCTTATATTATGCTAGCTAACTTGTACTTTTTAGCATATTTTAACTTATTAAAAGAGAAGAAGGCAAGGCAATGATAACTTTTAAAATAAAATAAATTTCAATTAAAAATGATATATATAAGGTTTTGCCAGAAAAGTGAGCTGACTGAAACTGCTGATAAATTTCAAACATCAAAGTGAAAATGGACATAGGTAATTATCAACATTAATTCATTACTGTAGTAAATATACTATCAGTTGTAAATGCTGAAGAAAATTATGAATTTAAAAAGATATATACAAATCCCATAACATTAGGGTTGTAAGCACCACATGTACTTCAGTCATAGCAGCAGTGGTGTATCTTGGGCAGTGACCTGACGGAGCCCATCCCTCCTCAGGTTGGTTTTGAATTCAGTTTTTCTTCTCCTAGACTGATTGCCACCAAGATAGCCTAGTTTGCTCCGCTATTTAACCCAAATCTGGAGGAAGATGGATTTATACCTTTCCCAAGAGCATTAGTACTAAGTGAATGAAACAGAATTGAGTTGAAGTTGGCATGCCAAATTCACTTTCTGTGCTGTTAACCTTTACATTATTAACAACTCCAAAAATTTAAAAGAGCAAATGTTATTAAACAATTTTCTGTCATTATCATCATCAGTATATTGAAGTAAAAGTCAAGCCATTATACAAGTTTTGTCAATATTATATTATACAGTTATACCTAAACATTTAACTAAATCAGTACTAATGTTCTCCATTGTTATTGAATAAAATAAACCCATTTTTAGGTTGTTTAAACAAAACTGTCAGATATGG